CGTGCCCCGTCTCTTTCCTCCCCGGGGGCCGGGCGCCGCCACTTCCGCCTCCACCCCCTCGAGCTTGATCCGCTAGGGCTGCGGGATACCAGGCCACGCTTTCCAAGGGGAGGGATTGGCGGACTCGACGGGCAGAGGGCGGGACGGAAGGCTCAGATTGGTGGCGTGAGAGGGGTTGAGCCGCTGGGGGCGGGACCAAGCCGAGCGATTGGCTTAGCATTGTGGGAAGGGGCGGTACAGAGACCTTCGCGGAACCGAAGAACGGATTTGGTCAGAAGTCGGGGTAGAGTCGAGACTCTGGATTGGGTAGGCGCCGACTCCGGAGGCGGGGATACAAATGCGAAGGAGCAGGGGCAGGATTGGAAAGGAGCGGATCTGGAGCGGGTGTGATTTCTGACCCCAAAGACAGGAAGGAGGAAATTGGGTTGATGAGCGCAGGTTACTTCTCACCTCCCTCTGCATATAATCTTCCCATAGAACTTCTGCCTTGCGATTGATGTCCTCCTTATGGTCCAATCTGTTCATTCCCAATAGTGTAACTCCCTCCCACGGCCCAGAGAGGGTACTACAACCCCCCCAATTGGAATGTTTAGGATATTCCGTCTTCTTTGCTTGTACCCGAAATGTAAGCTTAGTAGCTCAACTCCGGTACCCAGGTTGGCGCAAAGGGCTTTTATCAATGAAATTCTGCCTAGCAACCATTGATGTTGTCATATTCATTTGGTTGATTGGCTAGATTCAAGAACCTAAAGAAACATTTCCTTTGTGTATCTCCCCCCCCACACACACACACACATCCCAAAGACCACATACACTGGCACTTTGCACTCAGCTGATGTATTTGCATAAGACCAGGGAAAGAAAACCAGGACAGAGAGCAGTAGGCTGAGTTCACTGGCAGTAGAAATCCCATTTCTGAAAAAGAGAAAGGCAAAAAAAAAAGGTAGAGAAGAAACCAGCGGTCAGACCCAAGGGATCTAGTGATTTTTAGCAAAGGCTGTAGCCACACGACCCAGGTTTGACCACGTAAGTCAATGCAAATTAGACCAGAATCTTCTAATCTTGCACCTCTCTACTACACGTGGATTTAAAATTCAGTTTTACAGGTGAGAAAAAATGAAACGGGAAAATATATGCCCCAATGCACATGGCTGGGATGCCAGGTAGCCAGAGGTAGGATCATCTTTGCCCATTATCACACCCAAGAGTCCCTCCACATCCCTGCCAGTCCCAGGACACTCACATCTGTCTTCACCTCAATTTTGCCAGGTTTCAGGGTCTGGTCCTCTCGAACAATGCTACTGGGAAAATAACCCAGGCGGGCAGCCATGTCTCCATAGTAATCGCCCTGAACCTGCAGAAGAGTTAAAATCCAGGGACTGGGAAGATAGCAAGCTTTTTGCTGAAGGCATTTGCACTGTTTCTTCTTTATCTCCACGTGGCTGACTCCATCCTGGCCATTCAAATCTCAGCTTAAATGTCACCTGCTCAGAGGCCCTCCCTGACTACTGAATATAAAACAGCCACCCAATCAGTCTACACTAATGTCCACAGCAGCACCTATTTGCTGATTTTTTTTTATTGCTGGCTTATTGCTTGTCTCCCTTCATTAAAATAGAAATGATTTGGTGTTGTATTTTCAGTGTCTAGAACAGAACCTGGCACTACTGTAGGTTGCCTGTCATTGCTAAACGAAGTAAAAATAAAGTAGGTCAAAATGTCTCCATTTTGGTTTGCCCCCCCCCTCAAACTTCCCCTTCAGGTAGAAAACGGAAATTTCCTCCCACACCAGTCCTGTACCCTTCCCTGTTTCATTCTTCCAGGACTCACGCTGCCTCCCCAGAAGAGCCGCCCACGGCCCTTCAGCTTGGAGAAGACATATACAACTTGGCCCCTGTGTATGGTCAGGAAACGGCAGTCAGGGGCCACATAGTCCTGAAGGGCGACAGCCATGGAGATGGGGTCTGGGGAAGGAAAATAGGGAAATGATAGCTCCCCTGGCTTGACACCAGCCTGCAACCCAATGCCCCCACCTTGGCTCTCCATTCTTACAGCTGCATTCCTCATCGGCGCAGAGCTTCTGGTCAGCCAGCTTGGGCATGGCGCGGCCAGTCACACTAGGTCTTGGGAAGGCTGACAGTAAGACCATGACACCAAGAAACACCAGGGACCGAGCCATGATGACTAAGAGCAAGAGAGTGACCAGGAGAGGAATGGGGTCTCCGGTTTCCTCCTGCCCTCGTCTCCAGCAGAAACAAGGAAACCTGTGTTCTGAATCTTGGGCCCGCCCTAAACCAGTCCTGAATTTCCCCCACATCACCTAGAGGCTGCAACCCAGCCAGAACCATTCCAAGGACAGGGTGAGGACAGCCAACCCAAAGAAATGCCTGGATAGGCCCACAGCAGCCCAGGCCACTCCAAGTGACAGCCACCCCCTCCACTCTGAGAGAGGCCCAGGCAGGCAGGTTGAGATACTCAATTCCATCTTCTCGAGTTGCTTAGGTACCTCAGCCCCTCTTCTGTCCCCTGCAGAAGTGGAACCACAGGAGCCAGTATGGAAAACCACTTTGGAATTTCCTATGCTGTGGGGCAGAACAAGGCAGCCCTTTGATTGCCAGAAACAGCTCTAGCTCTGGAGGACTGAGCGATACTGTATGCAGGGCCTTAGGCTAGGCAATGTCCCAATGTGCACACTATGAACCCACACAAGCTACTTCTGACTTCATGTCCTGGGCTCAGCTATTTGTCCTCTCCAGCCTCACCTTCCTCATCTGTAAAATGGGGATAATAAAAGTGAAGGGGTTACAGGGCATTCACCGAGTACATTCTTATTTTGTTACCACAAATAGGTCCTCTGCATCATCTCAGGTGCGGTTACTTTTATTCATTTATTTATTTTTAAATAATTAATTTGTCGGGGCCAGCAGGTGGCATGGTGGATGAGGTGCTGGATTCCCACATGGCCAACCACAGTTCAAGTCCAGTCCTGGACTGGGAGGCTTGAAAATCACAACAAATAAATAAATAAATGTTTAAAAAGAAAAAGTTCGGACCAGCAGTTAGCATAATGGCTATGTCACTGGACTCCCACGTAGTCTATCGCAGTTCGAGGCCCAGACCTGGTGGCTTAAACTCACGCCAGGCGTGTATGCGTGCGTGCCCAAGATCCCGAGAGGAGAATGGAGGAGAAGGGATTGGGGCATGGCCATCGCCCCTGGGGGGTGATTTCTCACTTTTCTGTCTCTCTCTCTCCCTCTGTCTTTCTGGCAAGCGCACGCACCCTATAGCAAAAACCTCTCCAAAAAAAAAAAAAAAGAAAAGAAAAGAAAAGAAAAAGAGAAAGTTAAAAAAAAAGAATTTGCCCAGAGAGAGACAGAAAGCTAGAAAGCAAGCCACCAGGTCTGAGATTCGAACCACAGTCAGCCACAAGGGAATCCAGCACCCTTTGCCACCTGGCAGTCCCTATTTATTTTTTTAGAAAGAGATTTTTGCTATAGGGAGAGCAAGCACTCACCAGAGACATAGAGACAGAAAGTGAGAAATCATCCCCAAGGGGGATGGCCACATCTCAATCCCTTCTCTATCTTCTTCTCAGGATTTTGGCCACACATACACACATGCCCAGCATAAGTTTAAGCCACAAGGTCCAGGATTCAAACCATAGTCGACTATGTAGGAGTCCAGCAACGTAACCACTACACCATCTGGTAGTCCTAGGAGGGGTTATCATAACTCCATTTTACATATAAATGCAAGTTTAGAAAGTTCAAGAACAAGTCTAAGTCGGGACCAGCTGGCATAATGGATATGTCACTGGACTCCCATGTAGTTCACCGTGGTTCGAGTCTTGGACCAGGTGGTTTAAACTTACATCGGGCATGTGATTGCAGCATGGCCATCTGCCCTGGGGGGTGATTTCTCACTTTCTGTCTCTCTGTCTCTTTCTTTCTGGTGAGCACATGCACCCTATAGCAAAAACCTCTCCAAAAAAAGAGAAAAAGTCTGAGTCGACACATCCAGGAAGTGAAGGGGCTGACCTGTCTTCAGATCCTCACCTATCCCCATGTTATCTCACCTCACAGAACTCCTGTACAGATGAATTAGGTCCATTTAACAGAGGACAAAGTAGCATGTTAAATAACCTCTCAAGAAACAAATCCAGACTATATCAACAAAACAAGTAATAAACTGCTGGGAAAATGAGAAAAATGAGACTGAGAGGTGACTTAGATTTAAAAAATAAGGTAGGTTGGCCCTGTGGCCTAGTGATTAAAGGAGTCAGATCCCACCTGGCCATATCTACAGTTCAAATCCAAGACTTGGTGGCCTGAAAAGCATACTAAGGGGGACCAGCAGGTGGTGTGGTGGTTAAGGCATTGGACATTCCAAGGAATGTCCGACCGCGGTTCAAATCTGGGCCTGGTGGCTTAGTTTCTCACTCCCCCCCTTCTCTCTGTGTTTCTCTGGTCAAATTAAAATAAATGATGAATAAATAAAATAAAAAATTATTTAAACAAAAAAGAAAAAAAAGCACACTAAGAGGGGACAGCAGGTGATGTGATGGTTAAGGTACCCTGAGAGGTTTTTGCGATAGGGCGCAAATGGCCACCTGGGATTCGAGGCCCAGACCTTGTGGCTTGCCTTCTTACTTTTCCTCTTTTTTTCTTGCTCTCTCTGGCAAGTACACATGCCCTACAAGAAACTTAAAAATAATAACAATCATTTTAAAAAATAGTTATTAAAAAATACTAATCATGTGCATGTGCATGTCCAAAATCCCAACAGGATGCAGAAATGAGAAATGGAGAAAGAACTGTTGTGTGACCACACCCCTGGGGGATACATTCTCCCTCTCTTTCATCCCTCTAGCACACGTGCAGTCTGATACCTGAAAAAAAAAAAATGGAGCCAGCGGGACTCCCCACATGGCCAAACACGGTTTGAGTCCCAGATCTGGCAGGCTTGCTTTCTCGCTTTCCCTTTCTCTCTGTCCCTCTCTGGTCAACATAAAATAAAGTTAAATAATTATTAAAAAAAAAAACAAAAAACCTGGGACCAGAGTTTGCGTAATGGCTGTCAC